ACATGAGATCATATTTTTTAAAAAACACTATTATAAATGCATCTTAAAATAACACTAGTATGGTACAGCTAGGTAAAGTAGTAACATGAGAGGAGAAGAAATCGGAGTAAGGCATTCCTTTTTTTTCTGTAGTCCATCTCCACAACAGAGGCCTGGCTGAGGCTCATCTACTCTTCGAGAATATTATATGACGAGGCTCCTAATCTCTTCCACAGTACGATTCTTGTACAACAACTGCATGAAAGCCACCGGAGTGGGCTTTGGCTAAACTGCCCACTGAGGGAATGGAACCACTGTTTGCCGGGGATTGTGAAATGATGTCACTAATCTCTCTAAACCACAGAAATGGTGACTACAGTCGAGCTATCAAGAAATAAATGAACACAGGTTAGGATCAGAAATCTGAACTCATAAGAAACACAACATATGTAACTGAATACAATTCATGCATAATAATAAATTGAGGAAAAGGGGGGGGGGATCATTACTGCCTTTATCAGACATCAACTAAGATCTTTTTGGTACTGCAAGAGTGCGGGAAGGGGAGACACACACACAAAAACCCAAAACAAAAGATCGTAACCCTAACCCACAACACCCATAGAATACTGGACTTTCCCAGGAATTCCAGTATTTCCTTTCCTTGGAGGTGAAATCAAAATAAAGCACCCTGTAATGTAGTGAAAGGTGTATACATGGTATAACCAAAGTAACGTGTAGTTGTTTTTGGGAACAATAATGGCAAACAAAATGTTCATCTGGCTTGAAGTGATCATGAATTTTGTTCTTGTGGCCACATAAAAACTCAGACCAATGACACACACACATCAAGTACTGCACACACAGACAACGAAGATGTCTCTCTTTCGCTCACTCATTCTCAAACACACAGAAGCTGTACCATATTTTTTTAAATAAAAACCTACACAAATGTACTTGTATCATCCACAAATAAAAATACTGCATAAACAAACAAATAAAATGTATCATGAAATTATATAAAATGTGTGCATTTACATATACACAATATCATTTTGCCTATATAAAATATTCTGAATATATATAAACATAAATGCACAATAATGACCACATTGCGGCCCTAAATCCTTCGGCTCACGACTCGTCTCCATCGCTCTTAAAAGGGGTAAATACAGACACAGTGACATCACTTCCCATATAAATATAAAATATCAATAAATAAAAAATTCAAAACGTGAACACAGAATGCATCATTTACACACAGCACTACTTTACACATGCACAAGGTATACCACATACCATTTACACATAGCACTACTTTACACATGCACAAGGTATACCACATACCATTTACACATAGCACTACTTTACACATGCACAAGGTATACCACATACCATTTACACATAGCACTACTTTACACATGCACAAGGTATACCACATACCATTTACACATAGCACTACTTTACACATGCACAAGGAATACCACATACCATTTACACATAGCACTACTTTACACATGCACAAGGTATACCACATACCATTTACACATAGCACTACTTTACACATGCACAAGGTATACCACATACCATTTACATACAGCACTACTTTACACATGCACAAGGTATACCACATACCATTTACACCCAGCATTACTTTACATATGTACAATGCACTGCTTTATTTAATTGTTAATATCTGACACACATAAAGGACACATTTACACACATCACTACACATATACAAGGTTGACCACACACCATTTACACATATACAAGGTTGACCACACACCATTGACACGTGTACAAGACATGTATATACACACACAAACATGCAGCCTCCCGAACACATATACAAGGTTGACCACACACCATTTACACATATACAAGGTTGACCACACACCATTTACACATATACAAGGTTGACCACACACCATTGACACGTGTACAAGACATGTATACACACACAAACATGCAGCCTCCCGAACACATATACAAGGTTGACCACACACCATTGACACGTGTACAAGACATGTATACACACACAAACATGCAGCCTCCCGAACAAAGGACCCTTTTCCTCTGCTTCAGGTGTAATGAGCATAAAGTGCTAGATCTGTATATAACAGACCAATCAGCAAGCTCTCTATGGGTCATGGTGTCAAAATCACGCCGGCCACCTTTACTTCCCAGGATTTCACATGGCACCTATTTGAGGCTGGGTCAACGTGGGAGCCAAGGTCATCTCTGAGAAAAAAAAAAAGTCTTGCTTCATTCGATTAAACCCATGGCACCTAGGAATACACTCACAAACAAACATGGGCAGACACTAGAGACAATTTAACAAAAATATGAAAGGAACCCACTTACTTGTCATAATCATGCACTCAGTATGACAAACAAATTAACATGTACTGATTAGCACTTACAGAAAAAAAGAGGAGACAGACACACTAGCTAAAAAAGAAATCAAAACCTGCACTTACCATACCAGAACTCAAACCTGCCCCCTCAGAATGATGAGGTCGCCTCGCTGTAGGAGCAAATGTACTTCAACTCACGACCAACTTGAAAACCCCTACACTTACTTCTTTATTTGTGCCAAACAATGCACATTAATTTATTTACTGCCCTCTTTCTGTGGCCTCAAGGGTTACCAAACTATCTGAATAACGTACAAATAACAGCAAGTACAAATAACAGCAAGTATATATAACAGCAATACAAATAAATAAATATGAATGTGCTTTGTTTGTCTGTTGACATTTCAAAGAACCTGTAATAATCGACATATATACAGACATGACTGTCTTTCTCTCTCTCTCTGTTTGATGTGTTGACAATTTTTTGTTGGGACCACAACACCCTCCACTCAATTATTTATAGATCACAACTCTGCATTCCACATCCACACAGCAATAAATTACTTATGCAACCCATTTGCGCAGTAATTACACATTAACCCAGTGGTTGCCAATTACCTAAGATGTGCGGACTCCCTTCTGATTTTCAAAGGTCTGCCAAAATGCTAATTACTGCCTTTATTTTAACACATTTTGCAGTGTAGGCAGAGAGGAAAACGGGGGGGGGGGGTTGGTCTTTGAGCCTGAGGACTTATGGCCGCGTTGCTAGTGCTGTCGCCACGACTGTGACGATGAGGATTTTATTTTGCCCTCGACAGGAAAAATCCCCAGCCTTACCGAGGATTCGAACATGGGACTCCTGCTTGAGAGCCAAGCATTCTAACCACTTGGCCAGTGGCTCCTCAAAAGGTCAGCCACAGACCCTATACTTTTAAATATAATTATATTGAAAAACTTATAAGTTTCCATACACAGAAACAACAACCACTGTGTTATGAACATCATTTTTATTCATATATTGTGCCATACATCAGAGATTCTCAAACTTTTTTCTGTGCTGCACCCTTGTCAGGCTTTAAAAAATCATTAGTGGCACAGCCACGCTTAAAGCGGTTTGAATATTAGGAAAAATAAGGAGAATAACAGTGCAAATTTAATGTTCATTTGTCATTAATGAGATTAATTAAACTGTTTGAACTTGACTGCCCCTTAACGAATGCAGGATCGGTCGCACTTTGAGATCAATACAAGGACAATTCTTAGCAAGTTGTGGTTGGCATTTTATGCCAAATGAAACATATCTGAGTAAAACAAAAAATAAACTTTTTGAGAGTGGCACGGGAAGACCACTTAAATTTAAACTTTTCAGTATCTTCATGCCTTCTTTAATTTTAGTTTTTAGCCGACTTTTCTTGTTATTGCGGTGGCACACCTGGCATAAGCTCACGGTAGTCCAAGGTGCCGCGGCACCCAGTTTGAGAACCGCTGCTCTACTATGATTGTTTTGAAGACATTTTGATGTGTTTCCTTCTCTATTTAGAAAATGTATAACCACAGCCGGAGTTATGCTGGTAATGGCGTTGGTAATGTTTAATTTTCCTATGAATGGAAACTTATGAGACATCCTGGAATCACAATAAGGATTGCAGTCAGGTTTTTTAAAAATGATATCAGGAATCCCTTAAATTCATCTTGCGGTCCACGGACTACCAGATGGGAAAGACTGTATAAACTATTTTCACGACCATAGAACATGGTGACATTATGTAACATGACTCATAATACATTACTAATAAAACATTCATGTAATAATTATGGATTAAATAATTATGGATTAATTGTTCATTTTAATGGGCAGTGACAAAACTTCTTAATTCCCTCAGCCTGTAAGAATCATTTGTCATTATCATCATCAGACAAACTGAATGTTAAAACAGCAAGTGGATAACAAAGAGATTCTTCCTGTGATAGCATCTTTAATGTGCTTACTGTCAGACACGTTCTTATCATAAAGTTATCCATTCTTTTTGCACTCCTCCTTAGTGCTATACAGATCTGAGCATTGTGCGGACTTGCAGAGTTTGTAATCCATTCCTAATTCACTGTACAAGGGACAGTTCTACAAGAACATATTCTGCAGTTTGTGCATGCAGCCCACATGTGCACATTCAAGGACTGCCAAAACTGCTTGTATTTACCACCTTTGCAGCGTAGGCAGAAGGGGGAAGGGGGGTGGGGGAGGTCTTTGAGCTTAAGGGTTTAGGGCCTCATGTCTTGTGCTGTCGATACAGACTGTGCAAATAAGGATTAAATTTTTTCCTCCTCCAAAAAAATAAAAAAAAATACCCAACCTTTTTTAAGGATTCAAACCGGGGTCTCTCACTTGACAGCCCTGTGGTCTAACCATTCGGCCATCTGTTCTTCACCCTTAAGAACAAACAGAAATAAATAGTGCTTCTATCACTCTACTGCCACAGGTCCCATTGTGTACATCATATTTAAGTATGTATGTAAATTAAAGGATTTTTGTCATGTCATTAGTACATTGAGTATATAGTGCCAAGCCTATATTTTGTTTTAAAAACAAGCCAGTACTGGCTGGGTAATGTAGTCAACATCCTACCTGCCACCTGTGCTTCCCATGAATTAGTACACTTTGTGCTATAAATTACTAGTGCCATTTGATCTCGTGGGATCGCTAAGTAGAACTACATTGTCCCCGACCCTTGTATAGATGGGGGCAGCAGCGACTGCATTTGGAATATTCTGAATGTCCCCCAGGGGAATGTTGGAAAAGTAGGAGCCGGCCAGGAACTGGCCAGCGTGACTGCTGGTCGAAACTTCTATTGGACGGTAGTGTTGCAAATCTTGAGAAGTTGGAGCGTGAACCTGCGGCATCCCCGAGTACCAGGGCTCAGCCGTGACCACAGGAACTGCCGTGGTTTCGGCCCGCTGTTCCGGCACTAGCGTCCAATAAAATTTGTTATCGTCAGACACCGTGACGGTCACAGGCAGCGGCTGAGGCTGCTGCTGCTGCAGGTGATGGTGCTGATGTTGGAGGAGAGAGGAGGTGAAGGAGACGGTGGTGCCGGCCAGCTGCTGGACCTGCTGAGGGTCGTAGGAATGGATCACCATATTGGGGACCTCGATATAGTGTGGGGTCTCCACCCCGTTCTCAACCACCACCAGAGCTTCTTCCCCCTCCTGCCCCTGTTGAATGCCCTGGCGCAGATACATCGGCTGTGGTGTTATGTGATGTTTGCTATCCTGCTGTTGTTCCTGATGATGGTGCTGTTCATGCTGATCCACATGATGATGATGATGATTGTCAGCCATCTCATCCTCTGATTCTAGTTCTGAAGGAGGAACTATATTAACCTTAACCTCCTCCATTTTATTAACCTTTTTAATTTTCTTGGGTTTTGGAGGCTCAATTGGAGCATTTGGATTTTGGTAAGACCTGAAAAACCGCCCTTTGGTCACCTGCAGAATCTCAGACCCTTCTTGTGGCTTCTGAAAATCCTCCTCCCTTCTGTACAAACCAGAAAAGACTGCTAGTGAATCTATAGCATTTTCCCGCAGGTAACTGGCATGCACTGTCATCAGATGAGCTCGGAACTCCTTACTGGAGTCGCAGCCGAAAGCCCCACACAACCTACACGGGTACAGTTTCATCCCTTTATGTTTCTGGGTCTTGAGAATATGCTTGCGGATGTTTTCATGTGTGTTACATATGTAGTTGCAGTAGGGGCAAGCAAAGGGTTTAGCATTGATGTGTATACGCATGTGCCGCTTCAGGTGTGTCTTGCAAGTGGCTTTATAGGGGCAGTAATCACAGGTGAAGTTGCGGGACTTGTCGTGAGTTTTGACGTGCCGCCTCAGCCTGGTTTTTGTGGGTGCGCCAAAGCCACACATGTCGCACAGATATTTCTTCTCACCGGTGTGAGTAAACATGTGTGACTTCAACTCCCCGCTGAGAACAAACGTCCAGTGACACCCTGGCCAGGTGCACTTGTAGTTGCGGTCTCCGTGGCGCCTCATGTGGCGAATAAGTTCCTCCGGTGTGTAGAACCAAGCCTTGCACACCTGCAGAAAGAAAACAATTTCAAAATTGATAAAAGGTAATGGACAACCACATAATGCAACAGAGGTGTGCAATGCTGTACAGGATCATCTTGACTTATGACCATGTTCCGGACAGTGAGTTAAATTTACATTTTTCAACATTATTTTTGTTCAAAAGAGTTACCAAAATTGGATAAAAAAAATACAATTTCAATCTATGTATGTAACGAGAAAAATAATAATATGTACTCTACTGCATCGGTTCTGGGAACCTGTTAAACCTACAAATATAATTATCTTTCTTTCTTTACAATTTGTATTTATATCTTGTGGTTGTAAGTGTAGATGATGTTAGTCTAGGTAAAGGTATACTTATCTCTTTCAATCCCAGAAGATTCACCGCAGATTTCCAAGGAGGCAATAAATGTAATAAACACAAAACCCACACAGACAAAATATGCCAGATAGATAACTAGACAGATTTCCCTAATGTAGGCAAACTAAACATAACAGATACAACACATACCTTAATTTCTAAAGTAGATAATAGCTGACCACAAATCTTTCATATATACAAACTGACAACTCAGTTTATAACTCTACTGACACATCTCAATCTACAACTCTACTAACACAACTCAATCCAACAAATCAAATTACATTCTCCAAGTCTTCAAAGTCACTTCAACAGACACAAACCTTTCTCCCAAATCCAACACTCAATCTCAACATAAACCCTATCCTGATTTATGGAAGTGAATCATGGACAGCTGAACAATTAGTAAAGAATTATTTGGAAGCGACGTAGATGTGGTTTTATAAAAGAATGATGAGAATATACTTGACAGATAAACAGAGCAATAAAAATGTCTTGAAAGAAACTAATTCAGGAAGAGAACTGATTACCCACATCAGAAGGAGAATCTACATTCTTTGGCCATGTGACGAGAAAGGTGAAAACTGGAACACATCGTGACAGTGGGAAAGATGGTGGTGAACAGAGGCAGAGGGAGACAGTCAGAGAGAGAGAGAGAAGATGCTGGATAGTCTGACATCATGGCATTGAAAATCGCCTGTGCCAGAGCTGATTCAAAGTTCATGAGGTGGAAGGTTGTGGATAGACATGACTACTAATGCCACAAACTATAATAAAAAATCCAACACTCACATAGCATGTATGCTTGTCCGTCTTCTTATTCAAAGTACACAAGACAGAAAGTTGTGGATAGACATGACTACCAATGCCACAAACTATAAGAAAAAATCCAACACTCACATAGCATGTATGCTTGTCCGCCTTCTTATTCAAAGTACACAAGACAGAAAGTTGTGGATAGACATGACTACCAATGCCACAAACTATAAGAAAAAATCCAACACTCACATGGCATGTATGCTTCTCCCCCTTCTTCTCAAAATCATGCTGCCGAATGTGCTTGATGAGGTGGCTGTTGCGCTTGAATTCCTTGCCACACAGATGGCACATAAACAAGGGCATGTTCAGGTGACTGGAGATGTGTCGGCGTAAAGTCAGCCTGCCAGCGAATCCTTTGCTGCAGAAGCGGCAAGCGTAGGGGCGTTCCCCAGTGTGCAAACGAAGATGCTCCACCAATGTGTCCTTTCGCACAAACTTGCCACATTCTGGGCAGGAAACCGATGTATCGTTACTGAGACTTTCAACCTGTGAAATGTATCACATAAAAGTGTTCAAGTGATGTACAGAACCTGTAATGTTGCACTGGACTAATCCTAGGGAGAGGAAATGCAGCCTGAAAACTTTGTTACGTCAGGGCAGATCAGCCCATAGCCTTGGCAGGTCTAAGTGGGAAGTGCTGATATTCTGATCCAGCAGCTACTGCAGCTTGCTTTAATCCAAATGTACAGGTGTTACCTTTCCTTTGGAGTAAACAAGGCAGGCTGAGGGTGGGATCGGGATGCATGGGCAACACATGGTCTCTACAATGCCTCCCAGGCTTTGTGCTATGAAGAGGAAGAATTCTATCTTTTCGACGCTGGCAGATCTTGTTAGTCATATTTTTCCATCGTCAGAGCCTATGAGCCCCACACCTCCTCACAGCACAAAATAACACTACTGTGTGGAAAGATGGAAAGTCGCCACTGACAACGCAACGACTGCTGTATGCACAGACAATAAGCAGACAAAATGGGAGACATATGATGGCTGCTAAGAATGCACAAACTGGGAGCAAAGACCAGCATAGCCAGGTAGGAGAGGCTACTTCTTTTTTTTTTTTTTTTCTTGTCTTCCTTCAGTTACATCACTGAGATATTAGGGAGTTATGTAAGGGATTTCTGTGTGCCCTTTCTAATGCCTCATGTAAGTTTATCTTCACATCTTTGGGGTTGTCCTTAATGCCATTATTTAATCTTTTGAATAGTCTTCTGACGGACGGCTCTGTGTTCATTTTATTTCTTCAATGTGCCTCCCTGTGGCAGTTTGTACCAGGGCATTCTCATCAGATGGCCAAACCATTCTTGCTTGCTAAAGACAGTGTTAACAGGCGTAAAGATCTGGTCGTTTGTCCCCTTCTAGACTTTACATCTTGTTCCAAAACATTAGTTCTGCATGCATATTCAATTTTCAGATCTGCCTTTTTGTTGTTGCATGCATGCAGACTGTTAGTTCCTTGGCTGTCAGACAGATTCCAACAAAACACCCCTAGTTTTTCTTCTGCCTTTCTAGCCCCCAATAGAGCATGAGCCCTCAACCAACTCACACCAAGTCGTTCTATCCTTTGCTATCGCATGCAGCTCTCCCCCATCTTTCTAACTTCATTCTCCAGCTCCCTTCTCCATGTGTTTTTTAAACGCCCCTAGTTAGTCAACTCTTTAAACATGCTTGTTAGGGGGAAAATGATCTAATAACACCCCCCCACCCCACTTTTTTCTCCATAATGGGGCCCCAGAACCCACACCTGTGGTCTGCCCTCCAGAAAGCAACACTTGAAGGTAGCAGCCCGGAGGGAAAAGCATACTAGTTTTTAAATATCCTGTTCCCCGTGTGGGTTCCGGGGTCCTATTATAGGAAAAACAAGAATAGACCCACTGCCTACCCAAAAGCATGTCGTAAGAGTCGACTAATTGGGAGCTTCCTTCGAAGTCGGAGTGCATCTGACTGAGAGGCAAGGAACCAGCAGTCTGCATACAAATGAGTCAGATCTGTAAACGGATGCACATGCAACACTTAGGTTTTGGAACAGGACTGCAATCCAGAAGTAGACGAACAACCAGAACTTTCTGCCAGAGTTTACAGCTGGTGAATGCGAAGAAAGGGAAAAAGAAATATCTTGTTAAGGTAATGATATTTACTGCAAAATTATGCAAAAGCATTTAAACAAAAATATTTGATGAAGAAAAAAAAATCACTTTTAGGGACAGGAAATGGGAGCCCGAATCTACACGGGGAGAAAGTGTAAATGAAACCAGAGATTATGATGCCCAGACAATACAATGAAACAATCATATCACACAAACAGCATCAGCATCTGTCTTCTTCTGCATTCACCTTAAAGGGGCAGTTTGCCCAATATGATGTGGTTTACAGCTAGGCTGTGATATCTGTGCCTTTTGACCCAACACATCCAATTTCAGCAGACTCCTAATTAGTGCAAACTGTTTAAGGTGATCTCGGATGTAGCGAATTTCTGTTGTGAAGAACAATTTGTTTATCCCTGGCAATTCTTCTTGCTTGAATTCTTATCTGGACAAGAGGAATATATGATAAGAAAAACCGTTTCTTGGGTCCCTGGTGAGTTCTTCTTATCAGGTCTGCACTGTACATGCATGCCAGGTGGCAGCTGGCCTATTTGTGCTAACCGTGGACTCATTATCATGTAGCAGGTCTTTTGCAGAAAGTCGCTTTCATCGCGGTCTGCCGGAAAGAAACTCCGTCTCTCGCCATCTCTCCTGCCTCGTGCACTTTCATATTCAAGGAGTCACATATATCCTGTACCCATCTTTCCACAATGAGTTTCTTTGGATAATAATGTGGGTGTGATAGTTTCCCCTTGCTTTCCTCATCCACATGGCTTTAGACTATGATCTCAGCCTTCAGCAACCTTTTAGACTGCTAGAACAACCGAGGGACTCATAACAATAATACATCCCCTGGTCATACCGGCATAAAGGAAAATGAGCAAGCGAACCAACTGGCAAGCACTGCACTAAGGATTGCGAGAAGAAGCATGGACAGAGCAGATATCGTCAACACTGTACGGACAGGGCTAGTGGATAATGAGGAATCCCTGACACTAACCCAACTGCATGACATGAGAGTAAAGGATGGTGAAGTACGTCTTTGCCGTCTTCGAGGCCGAGATAGGAGACAAAATAACCAGCTTCACATAGGAACAATTAGCAGAAGTAATTTAGAGTGGCTGCTGCACCGGAGGACTGAGCAAGCATGGGAATGCCCAATGTGTAGTCACGTGGATTGTGATAACATAACATAATACATCCCACCCCTGCTAGAACCAAAACCAAAACACCATATAACCTTTCTGAAGAGGAAAGGACAAACACTCACCTGCTTGACATGATCCCCATACAGCTGGGTCACCAGGTCCTGCCCCTTGTGGATGCGCTGCAGGTCCGCCTCACAGCTGGGGTGTCTGTGAATGGTCTCCATGTGCAGCAGACAGCAGGACTCCTGCAGGAACCGCTTCCCACAGATCTTGCACTTGTGCATTTTGGTTTCCCCTGACTGTTCCCTCAGTTTCAGTTGGTGGCCCCGGCCTGAACAATGGATCTTATAGGCCTGAGGAGTTTTTAAAAAAAGTGTCATTACTGCCTGTCCTGTAGGTCATAAAAAAGGGGTGGGGGGGGGGGCGTCTTGGGTTTTTAGGGCAACATGACACAGCTTGTGCAGTTGCCTAGGACTGTACAGGTTGACTGTATTTCTGCCCCTGACCAACAAAATTCATCAGCTTACCAAGGATTTGAATGTGGGTCTCTCGAATGAGAATCCAGTGTTCTGAAGTGCTCAGCCAACCACTCTTTAGGCCTGATGGGATAAAGATGAATTATTTAAACATAGGTGTTCTGAAATAACAAGAAACAGAATGTCCCAGGTGCTCTTTGCTCACACTAAAATCCCCTATCAGGAGTTGAAAACTGTTAACTCTTTCAGCCTCCGTGACAAAATGGTCAAGCTGGTCATCTTGTGCTCAGAAGGTCTGTGTGTTTATTTCCTGGCTGCCCTATTCAGTTCATGTGGGTAATTTTTTGCGGAAATCCCTGGGGATCATCGTCAGAGCTAATTACTGAGTTCATGCTCTCTGTGATGCTCCCGGTTCTGCCGAGAGAGACGGAGCCTTACAGGTTAGAACCCAGTGCAATAAGTTGATTCTCTCAACTGTAACCTTTATCTTTCAGTCTTAAGGAACATTTTGTGGTGAGGCTTATTTTCCCTACTGAATCTCAACCTGTGGCAGGACAAGATCACAAACACTGAGATATTGGAAAGAGCAGGTATTACAACAGTCTTCTCAATGCTCAGTCTAGGAAGGCTCAGGTGGCTGGGTCACACCTGGAGAATGGAGAATGGCAGTCCCTAAGGATATCCTTTATGGTGAACCAAAGACAGGTAGATGATGGCGACACTGACCTCTACTATGATATAAACATGTGTACAAGTGGGACATGAATGATACAGGTACTGAGGTGGACTCGTGTAAACAAAATGACATGGACTGTGTTGTGTGGAGGGGGCACATCAGGAAGGGAAGGAGAATAAAGGAAGCAATGACTGCAGAAAGGATAAGAGCTGAGCGTCTGAGAAGAAACAGTCTACACACAAATGTTGACAACAATGGTCCTGGAATACCATGCTATAACTGTGGAAGACTTTACATAACGCAGGAAGGTTTTGCTGGTCACTCTCCATCGCCATGGGCTGTGAGTTCCATGTCTCCTTATAGCGCAATATAACACTATCGTCTGGAAAGACTGAAAGGTGCCAATCATCATCTGTACAGGACTACTGGGTACATCAGGGTAAAACTTGAGTTAACCCTTATGGATTCTGTAATTATAACTGTCTAAGAAGTTGAATGTGGTAGCTGGTGTCTGCCATCCTTCTTCTTCTTATTTGCATTCACTGGTTGTAAACTCTGGGGGAAAGTTGTTGTCCACTTTTGGACTTTGGTCTTATTCCAGAACTTGAGTTTTGCATGCATATCTATTTTACAGATCTGCAGGCGAGCATTTAGCCACTACAATATGGCAGCTCCTATAAGAAAATGTCCTGGTAAGTAAAGGGGTCCAGCAAGATTTTGACCACATTGCCCATAGTGCCGATTGGTCTATAAAAATATATACAGACCTGGCTTATTTGTATGCAGGTTCCTTGCCTCTCTGGTAGATGCACTCCCAATTCAAAGAAAACACACTTAATAAGTGTACGCTTATGAATGTTGAATTAGGAATCGACATGACAGCACTCAGGACACCCCCATAAGCGCTCTGTCCCCATCTTCAGCAGCAAGCGAAGAGTTAAAATTCCGATGGTACCAGTAACTGTCTGATTGTATATCCGTCTCGCCTTTCCCGTGAGTGTCGAGCGTCAGCCAGATCACCTTGTAACTCCTCTCAGTGCCGTAATGATCTAACTGTGCCTCGGCACTGTTTACTCGCTTCCAAAGGGCTCTCACAACATCCAGCTTGTCATCACGTTTAGGATATACTCATCAGGGAGCGGTGGGTCTATTTGCCATCCCCACCCCTATAATGGGGCCTCAGAACCCACATGGGAGCTTGCCAGCTAGGATGCAATGCTTCAAGTTATGGGCCTGGAGGGGGGAAAACAAAACAGGCAGAACTCACCAGTCTTTAAATATCCTGGTGTGCTAATAATGACGACTTCAAAATTATACAAAAAAGCATTTAAGAAAATGTCAAACAAAACAAAAACGCAAAAAAACTCACTTTCAGTGACAGGAAATACTGACTGCAGGGCTGACAGGTTAAAATGTCGTTAGGATGACTTTCATTGTAGTGACTTCTCAGCTCCATGAGGTCTGTCGCAGCAAATTCACAGTAAGTGCAGGAAAAGATATATTTGCTTGCTTCATTGATCTTCTCTTCATCCATCTCTGTGTAGTTTTCATCTTCTGATGGGCTGTAGCCATCACTTTCTTCTTCACCCTCAGTAGGAGCAAAATCCTCATCACTTTCTGCATGGCTTTTTGAGGATCCGTTCACAGTAACACTGTAACAAGTACTCATATTGCCAGGCAGGCTACCAGCTTCGGCTTTGACATCCATCGGGGATATATTCAGGCAGTCTGCAGCTGTTGTTCTGCCATTCATACTGCTTGCTGTGACTGCCTCAGGCTGAATCTTCTCGGGGTCTAATCTACTGTCAATGTTCACACCTGGAGCTGAAACCTCAGTTTTAACGTCTGCCTGGACACTGTTATTAGCCATGTTATCATCCGGCTGTTTACTGACTTTCCTTGGGGATGCTCTGCTAGATTTTCCAGACTTTTCCTTCAACAGCTTATTGATTTTATCTTGAGTTATTTTGATGTTTCTCCTCAGGAGCCTGGCTGCACCTGCTGTTCCATTAACTCTCTTCTCTTTCACCTCCTCATGTCTGAATGGCTCCTCATCGCTGAAAAATGTCAGTGTTTTCCTCTTGCGGGTGCTCCTTCTGAGCATCACAGCAGCAGCCGCAGTTTCTGGTTTTGGATCTTTGCTTGCAACTTTAATTGTATCTGAAACTGGCTTAGACATTCTCACCCTGGAAGCTGCTGTTTTTATGTTTTCATCTTTCCTGGGGCGACCTTAAAAAAAAAAAGAAAATTCCTGAAATAAACTAGCAGCAATCTGTAATAAAGGCAAGTAAAGGACTCTTGATAGGCCAGTGGCCCAATGAGCATATGGTGCTAGACATATCTTTTTATAGATCATTCGGCACTCTGGCCAAAATCATACTGGACACCTTTACTTCAGAGGACTTTTCCTGATAGGAGCTGCGTGGTGTAGCAGCTAAATGGGTCCTGACAAAGTGGGATTTTTCTTCTTCTTCTTGTGTTCGCTTTTTGATTTACACCGACAGACAGGTTCTTGTGATAAACTTGACTGTTTTTAGGAGTTCTTTTTTAGTCCCATACAACTCTGCATGCAGTGGTGACTCACTGGGCCAGTATTCCTTTTTTAATGGGCTGAACAATGGATGGACATTCTTGCATGACATGTTCTGTAGTCTCACACATAGCCCACACGGGCACAAAGGTGAACTACTTAGACGAAGCCTGTGCATATGCTGGTTAAGTTTGTTATGTCCTGTCCTGAGACGTAAGATAATGACCTGCCCATGCCGGTCAAGTAAATGGTAGTCATCTCTGGCCAGACTCTGTTAACTTCTAATTGCCTGGATGGCCCGTTTCATCTCATAGTATGCTACTGCATTCTTTTCCTGGTCACATTCTGCCCCTTTCTTACCAAGTTTATCTGCGGTTTTGTTTCCTGGGATAGGACTTTTTTCAAAACTGACCTTGGCTCCCAGGTCGACCCAGCCTTACATGAGTACCAGGTAAAGTCAAAGGCAACAAAGGCTACTGGCGTGTTGTTGACCACAATATCAAATGAGTGCCAGTTGGTCTATAAAATATGAATCTAGCCCTATACTCTTGAAGGTGGGGAAAAGGGTCCTTTTATTTAACATCTTATGGCACCTGTTTTAGGTTAGACTGACTTGAGGTTATTTTGTAGAAATCTGCCTCTGTGTGGATTTCAACTCAAGACCACAAGGTTGACGGGTACACCTAATTATTAAGGCATTGATGCAGGAATTTTGTTTCTTTCATATAAAGTCATTGTTAAAAGTTAAGCATTTATTATGTATCTGATTTTGAAAACTATATTGATATTAAAAGAGGTACTACTTATCTTCTTCTTTGTTGTCATTGGCTGTAAACTCCGTCAGAAAAGTTCTGGTTGTTCATCCCCTTCTGTACCTTGGTCTTGTTCCAGAACTTGAGTTTTTCAATGCACAGTCGTTTAGATATCTGACTTAACTGTATGCGGACTGTTGATTTCTTGCCACCCGTGAAGAAAAGCACTCTGACTTTGAAGAATACACCCTTGAATAGTCTGCTTTTATGACATGCTTGTCTGGGGGTATAGTAGGTCTCCTCCCCCCCCCCCCCTCCCAAAAAAATTGGGATCCCGTAAACTATAAATCCTGAAGTGGACAAACAACCAGACTTTTCTGCTGCAGTTTACAGCTGGTAAACGCTAAGAAGTGAAGAAGAAGAAGTTAAAAGGGTTAACATAACTTCCAATCTTTAGACGAAGAAATGAAGTTAAAAGGGTTAAAATAACTTCCAATCTTTTATTCTCATTGTATTGCTTTAATACAAGTGAGGACCTCTCCATGGAAAAACAATTTTTTATAACGGAATGAATAAAATGCTCCACCATGAAAAACAGTCACGCCATTATGGGAAAACAGTCACGCCATTATGGGAAAACAGTCACGCCATTATGGAAAAACAGTCACACCATTATGGAAAAAGAGTCACACCATTATGGGGAAAACAGTCACGCCATTATGGGAAAACAGTCACGCCATTATGGGAAAACAGTCACGCCATTATGGGAAAACAGTCACGCCATTATGGGAAAACAGTCACGCCATTATGGGAAAACAGTCACGCCATTATGGGAAAACAGTCACAACAGCCAAGTAAAACACTAGGACACACTGGAAAGCAACAACAAAAGAGATCAGATCTGGAGAAGCCGCCAGGTAACAAGACCAACCTCTGCCACGTTTTTTCAATCCATTCATAACTGCCGCCTTTTTCAAAGCAGCAACTTTGTTAAACTGAGCCCCCTTGATCTTGTTGGCTACAACCCGTTTAGCGTGGAATCGTGTCCGCAGATGATTGTCCAGTCGCCGCTGGTCCAGGAAACCTCTGTTGCACTCAAGGCAGTTGAAAAGAGACGTGTTCTTGTGAATCTGTGTACAAATTCATATAGTTCTGTGTTACATTATACTTTATTGTATACTTACCAGATCAGACATACTGATGTATATATATATATATATATATATATATATATATATATATATATATATATATATATATATATATATATATATATATATATATATATATTTATATATATATATATATATATATATATATATATATATATATATATATATATATATATATATATATATATATATATATATATATATATATATATACTGTTATTTAAAAAAAATTGCATAGTTATGCAATGGAACTTTGCTACTCAAAAAAAAAAAAAAAAAAAAAAAAAAGGCATAGCTACTGAAATGAAAGATAATTTTGTCATAATGCTGATATTCCAAATCTTTGTAATTTAATGAGTGAAACTGTTCAAAAAGCATACAAAAATATCTTAGGGTTCAACCGATCAACAGACATTATTTTGCATATGGATCACCGATAGTTTCTAAGAGCAGACCTTTCCCTTCAGCTAATACAGAAGCCCCATCGAATAACTATGTGCTTCTCTCTTTGAACAGGAAAAACGACATCAGATAACTATAAGCTTCTTTTTTTTTTAATAGGAAAAACGACATCGGATAACTATTGTGCTTCTCTCTTTGAACAGGAAAAACGACATCAGATAACTATGTGCTTCTCTCTTTGAACAGAAAAAACGACATCTGATAACTATGTGCTTCTCTCTTTAAACAGGAAAAACGACATCTGATAACTATGTGCTTCTCTCTTTAAACAGGAAAAACGACATCGGATAACTATGTGCTTCTCTCTTTAAACAGGAAAAACGACATCTGATAACTATGTGCTTCTCTCTTTAAACAGGAAAAATGACATCTGATAACTATGTGCTTCTCTCTTTGAACAGGAAAAACTACATCTGATAACTATGTGCTTCTCTCTTTAAACAGGAAAAACTACATCTGATAACTATGTGCTTCTCTCTTTGAGCAGGAAAAACTACATCGGATAACTATGTGCTTCTCTCTTTGAACAGGAAAAACGACATCAGATAACTATGTGCTTCTCTCTTTAAACAGGAAAAACGACATCGGATAACTATAAGCTTCTTTTTTTAAATAGGAAAAACGACATCGGATAACTATGTGCTTCTTTCTTTGAACAGGAAAAACGACATCGGATAACTATAAGCTTCTTTTTTTTTAAATAGGAAAAACGACATAGGATTACTATGTGCTTCTTTCTTTGAACAGGAAAAATGACATCGGATAACTATGTGCTTCTTTCTTTGAACAGGAAAAACGACATCGGATAACTATAAGCTTCTTTTTTTTAATAGGAAAAACGACATCGGATAACTATGTGCTTCTCTCTTTAAACAGGAAAAATGACATCGGATAACTATGTGCTTCTCTCTTTGAACAGGAAAAATGACATCAGATAACTATGTGCTTCTCTCTTTAAACAGGAAAAACTACATCTGATAACTATGTGCTTCTCTCTTTAAACAGGAAAAACTACATCTGATAACTATGTGCTTCTCTCTTTGAACAGGAAAAACGACATCTGATAACTATGTGCTTCTCTCTTTGAGCAGGAAAAACTACATCTGATATCTATGTGCTTCTCTCTTTGAACAGGAAAAATGACATCTGATAACTATGTGCTTCTCTCTTTGAGCAGGAAAAACGACATCAGATAACTATGTGCTTCTCTCTTTGAACAGGAAAAACGACATCGGATAACTATGTGCTTCTCTCTTTGAGCAGGAAAAACTACATCGGATAACTATGTGCTTCTCTCTTTGAACAGGAAAAACGACATCGGATAATATGTGCTTCTCTCTTTGAGCAGGAAAAACTACATCAGATAACTATGTGCTTCTCTCTTTGAACAGGAAAAATGACATCAGATAACTATGTGCTTCTCTCTTTGAACAGGAAAAATGACATCAGATAACTATGTGCTTCTCTCTTTGAACAGGAAAAACTACATCGGATAACTATGTGCTTCTCTCTTTGAACAGGAAAAATGACATCGGATAACTATGTGCTTCTCTCTTTGAACAGAAAAAATGACATCAGATAACTATGTGCTTCTCTCTTTGAGCAGGAAAAACTACATCGGATAATTATGTGCTTCTCTCTTTGAACAGGAAAAACGACATCGGATAACTATGTGCTTCTCTCTTTAAACAGGAAAAACGACATCGGATAACTATAAGCTTCTTTTTTTAAATAGGAAAAACGACATCGGATAACTATGTGCTTCTTTCTTTGAACAGCAAAAACGACATCGGATAACTATAAGCTTCTTTTTTTTTAATAGGAAAAACGACATCGGATTACTATGTGCTTCTTTCTTTGAACAGGAAAAACTACATCGGATAACTATGTGCTTCTCTCTTTAAACAGGAAAAATGACATCGGATAACTATGTGCTTCTCTCTTTGAACAGGAAAAATGACATCGATAACTATGTGCTTCTCTCTTTGAGCAGGAAAAACGACATCGGATAACTATGTGCTTCTCTCTTTGAACAGGAAAAACGACATCGGATAACTATAAGCTTCTTTTTTTTTTTAAATAGGAAAAACGACATCGGATAACTATGTGCTTCTTTCTTTGAACAGGAAAAACGACATCGGATAGCTATAAGCTTCTTTTTTTTAATAGGAAAAATGACATCGGATAACTATGTGCTTCTTTCTTTGAACAAAAAAACAACATCAGATAACCATGCTTTTTATTTTTTTATGAACAGGAAAGCACCATCGGATAACCATGAGTTTTCTTGGTTTTTTTTTTTAAACAGGAAAACACCATCGGATAGAAAGAGGACAAAGGAGGGTATGACAAAGTGGCAAAATGGTCAAGTTGTTTGCCTCATGTTCTAAGTCAGTGGTGGCGTTTTCTGACTAGAGGTTCACAAAATGTTTTTTTTTTTAAATCCTTAAGGTTGTTTCTGGAGTTGCAGAGTCTGTACTTTAAGCGAGACTCTTGACAAGCAGACAGAAACTCTGCAGAAAAAGACAGTAATAGAGCCTGATGGAATCAAACAAAATGCTTCCAATAAAAAAAATTTTTTTTTTAAGCAAATACACTAAATCTAAACAACTATTAATCCTCATATAGAATGTTGAAGTTTGAATTAAGAATCAACATCACAGCACTCGGGACACTTCCATAAGTGCTCAGTCTCCATCTCCAGTAGCAAGCGAAGAGTTCAAATTTCGATGGTACCAGTAACCGTTTGCTTGTATATATGTCATGCTTCCCTTGAGTGTTGAGTATTGGCCAGATCCCCTGTTAACTCCTAGCAGTGCCATTCTCCTTACACTGTAATGATCTATCTGTGCCTCCACACTCTTCACTCGCTCCCAAAGGGCCCTCACAAAATCTAACTTGTCATACATCAATTCACCACCAAGTGGTGCAGAGCCAGCCAGTCTATCTGCCAACTCATTTCCAACACACAGGTATGACCTGGGGAAAATATCCAAAGGATGCTAACTACCCGGGACCTCTGAAGTGATGCTTGCCACTCTACACGAAGCATGCCAATTTTCAACTTTCTCAACATGCTCTGTGAGTCAATTACAATCACAGCATGTGTGTACTGCTGAGTCCCAAGCCAGCGGAAGGTAGCAGAGACTGACTCCACCTCCATTCTCAAACTAGACGTGATATCATAAGCAAGGCTTTGCTGCACTAGGCGACGTCCTTTCGCCTTTGCTATGAAACTCCATGCACTGTGTCTGCCCCTCAACACAGAGCCATCTGTATAGATATAAAATCACATCAATTGGGCAGGAATTGTCATGAGATTTTTAAAAATCTCAAATAGATATATTAGCAGGATTCTGCAAGTCAAACAAGATGGCGGGTAGAAAACAGACTAGGAAAAGTCAAGGTCTACTAAAAGCACCCTAAATTAGTGCAGATTCAGATGCACTATGCCATAAGTTTAACAAAACAGAGTAACATCATTCATTAAATGATGACAGGTGAGCCCACGCTCTCAAGATACTCAAATCTATGCATTTAACCCTCTGGCCTGAAAAACACACAACCAAGTGATTCCTGTCTGTGCTACGGCCCCTTAAATGTCCCTTTCCTGGCTTGCTATAAAGACTTGTTAACAAGGAGCACAGTTAACAGCACTGCCTCAGGTTTTTTCCCTGGGCAACTTTCTAGAACGACTGGTAATGAGCATAGTTACAAAAAAAAAAAAAAAAAAAAAAAGGATTTACGATTATTTTTTGCCATGGTGGTGACTGGCGGCAGGGTCAGGTGTTCAAGAACTTTTTTTTCTCTGATATTAGAGAGCTGTCACTTCTCTGCCCCGTTCGTGTTGACTGATTTCTCCCATTTTTCTGTAAGCAGTTAAATACTGTTCTGATCCATAAATGGAACTGTTACAATTTTGTGTATGTCATCATCATCAATTTCCACTTTTCTTGATAGGCAGCATGGCTACTGTGATTTTGTGTCGATGCAGAAGCTCTTCAATGTCATAAATACATGTTCTAAGGCGGCCTCTTCCTTTCTCTTCAGATATTTGTGTGTGTAGCGCCTGCATGGGTTGTTGTTGTGGCTGTATTCTGACTAAATGACCAAACCATTCAATCTTCTGTTTCTCAATGAATTTGCTGCATGGTGTTGTTCCTACAGTCTGTCTGATAATATCATTTCTAACTTTGTCTTGGATGGTTAAGTTGGCGGCTTTTCTCAAGCATCTCCATTTGTGTCTGTGACCTGTGTAAAATGTCAAAATTTCAAAAATATGGGTCTTAGGCATAGTTTTTTTTTTTATAGGTCACTGGTGGGCAAGGGTTAAAAATCTTATAATGAACAAACAACGCAGCCAGAGGAGTCAAAAATGAAACAGTTACCTTCAGGAAATGTAACTGAAGCAGACTCTTAGCACGAAAGGTTTTCTCACACAGTGGGCATCTGTACAAGTGATACTCAACTGGCTTGATGTCCATGGTGACTTGTACCTCTGAGAGTCTGTCCCGGTGCCGCTTCTGACAATGTCTCTTCATCCTGACTGCCGAATGCATCCTGACCCCACAGAACTTGCAGGTGATCCTGGTGTGGCTTTCTCGAACGATGCAGACACCATGTCGTTTCTCTACTGCGGCAAGGTGTTCTGCATACTGAAGGTGTTCCATCATCTGTGTTGACAGAACAGACTAAGATTTTTAAAAAATAAAACAGATTTCTATTTTTTTCATTGCCCAAAATGCCTTAATGTATCTTCTTTTTTGACGTTAACTGCTGTGAATTCTGGCTTAAAGTTTTGGTTGTTCGCCCACCTCTAAACTCTGGTCATGTCCAGAATCTGGAACCTGTGTGCACATCTGTTTCACAGACCTGACTTATTTGTATGCAGACTGTTGGTTTGATATCTCTCAGGCAGATGCACTCCGACTTCGAAGGAAGCCCCTAATCAGTCGACACTTCCGACATGCTTGTTGGGGAGGCAGTGGGTCTATTCTTGTTTCCCCCAAAGTGGGACCCCGGAACCCACACAGGACCTCTAGGTCTTCATCTTCCTCTAGACAACAGGCTTCAGGTTGAAACATGGTCAAACTTCTTAGTTACTCTTCTTCTTAGTGTTCACTGGCTGTTAATTCTGGTGGAAAGTTTTGGCTGTTCATCCATTCCAGGACTTTGGTCTGGACCCAGAACTTCCAGTTTTGTGTGCATACCCATTTTAGAGATCTGGCTTACCTGTGTGTTTTTTGGTTCCTCGCCTCTAAGTCAGATACACATTGCCAAGTCTGAAGGAAACAACCATAATCAGTCAACTTCTCTGATATGCTTGTTGGGGTGGGAGGGTCTATTCGTTGTCCTAAATGGAGCATCGGAGCCAAGACACAATAACTGAGTTCTCTCTATCTGCCCGCAAATCTCCCCTTGTGGGTTCCGGGGCCCTGTTATAGGGAAAACAAGAATAGACCCACTTGCCTACCCAAAAGCATGTCGTAAAAGCCGACTAATTGGGAGCTTCCTTTAAAGTCAGAGTGCATCTTCCTGAGAGGCAAGATACCAGCAGTCTGCATACAAATGAGTCAGATCTGTAAAACGGATGCACACGCAACACTCAGGTTCTGGAACAAGACTGCAGTCCAGAAGTGAATGAACAACCGGAACTCCCTGCCAGTGTTTACAGCTAGTGAAAGCAAAGAAGAAGAAGAAGATATTCAATATCAACAAGTCCTGGGGTTCTCAAATACTCTCCACTACCTTTCATGCACTAAGATTTCTCAGTGGTTACCTCATTAATACTACACAATAAGTGTCCTTATTTACCAATCCCCTCCACTTTATATTACAGAGACAGACAAGAGGTTAGGACATGAAGACATAGGCAAGCCTCACTATGCTTGCCTGTGTTGTGTCTCTGTCTGTTTATCAGACCAGGACAAGAGGTTAGGACATGAAGACATAGGCAAGCCTCACTATGCTTGCCTGTGTTGTGTCTCTGTCTGTTTATCAGACCAGGACAAGAGGTTAGGACATGAAGACATAGGCAAGCCTCACTATGCTTGCCTGTGTTGTGTCTCTGTCTGTTTATCAGACCAGGACAAGAGGTTAGGACATGAAGACATAGGCAAGCCTCACTATGCTTGCCTGTGTTGTGTCTCTGTCTGTTTATCAGACCAGGACAAGAGGTTAGGACATGAAGACATAGGCAAGCCTCACTATGCTTGCCTGTGTTGTGTCTCTGTCTGTCTATCAGACCAGGACATGAAGGTTAGGACATGAAGACATAGGCAAGCCTCACTATGCTTGCCTGTGTTGTGTCTCTGTCTGTCTATCAGGCCAGGACATGAAGGTTAGGACATGAAGACATAGGCAAGCCTCACTATGCTTGCCTGTGTTGTGTCTCTGTCTGTCTATCAGGCCAGGACATGAAGGTTAGGACATGAAGACATAGGCAAGCCTCACTATGCTTGCCTGTGTTGTGTCTCTGTCTGTCTATCAGGCCAGGTAAGTAAAGGACCCTTTCCCACACCTTTAGGCGTACTGGGCACACAGGGCTAGACCTATATTTTTTATAGACCATCAGCACTTTGTGGGTGATGTGGTCAGCATCATGCAGGCCTCCTTTACTTCCCAGGACAGCACCTGGTACTCACTTAAAATAAGTTCGACCTAGGAGTCAAGGGTCATTTTTGAAAAAAATCTGGCTCCATCAGGACCCGAACCCCTGACCTTCTGATCCGCAGGTGGGCGTTTAGCCGCCAACGCCACATCAGACCATGTGCATCTTCCTAATGTCATATTAATAGAATATGACAAAAAAATTCAGACATCGTGCTATACCTCACATACACCCCCCCCCCTCTCTCTCTCATACACATAATGGAGAGAGTGAACAGGTCGAGACATACCTTACTGTGTCTGTGAGCCCCCCCCCCACCTCTCTCTCTCTCATACACATAATGGAGAGAGTGAACAGGTAGAGACATACCTCACTGTGTCTGTGAGGCCCCCCCCCACCCCTCTCTCTCTCATACACATAATGGAGAGAGTGAACAGGTCGAGACATACCTCACTGTGTCTGTGAGGCCTCCCCTCTCTCTCTCTCATACACATCATGGAGAGAGTGAACAGGTCGAGACATACCTCACTGTGTCTGTGAGGCCCCCCCACCCTCTCTCTCTCTCATACACATCATGGAGAGAGTGAACAGGTCGAGACATACCTTACTGTGTCTGTGAGCCCCCCCCCCCCCTCTCTCTCATACACATAATGGAGAGAGTGAACAGGTCGAGACATACCTCACTGTGTCTGTGAGCCCCCCCTCCCACCCTCTCTCTCATACACATAATGGAGAGAGTGAACAGGTCGAGACATACCTCACTGTGTCTGTGAGGCCCCCTCCCCCACCCTCTCTTCTCTCTCTCATACACATAATGGAGAGAGTGAACAGGTCGAGACATACCTCACTGTGTCTGTGAGCCCCCCCCCCCCCTCTCTCTCTCTCTCTCATACACATATACACATCATGGAGAGAGTGAACAGGTCAAGACATACCTCACTGTGTCTGTGAGGCCCCCCCCCCTCCCTCTCTCTCTCTCATACACATCATGGAGAGAGTGAACAGGTCGAGACATACCTCACTGTGTCTGTGGGTCTGGAATCTACAGGCCACACAAGTGATGGCCCCCAGCATGTCCTCACAGGTGACTACATGACTTGAGCTGCCCATGTGGTCGAGAAAGTCTCTCTGCATACAGAAGAGAAACATTCCAGATGAATGTAGCATCATCATATTCAAAACATGTAAGCAAAGGCTTTGGCTGCTTGATGTTTTTCATGACAAACAAATATCAAGAAAATATACACCTTGAAACCGGCTAGAGAAACATATACTTCACATTATACAATCATCACCATCATGTGCTGTGCCAGTAAGCGTTTCACCACCTGATACAATGGTCAAAATCATGGATCAGTTCAATGATTTTGTCTTGCCCCATCTATCTAACCAGGCCATCCAGCTATTTATCTCCTAGCCTTCCTCTTACTCTCTTTCCATCAATTTGTTATGAAATTCCCGAGTTATTCCTTCTCATAACATGTCCCAAAAACACCTAATTGTTCTAATGACTTTTTCTTCTTAAAGTCCATGCCATGCGGTATTGGTAGTCATGTCTATCCACAACCTTCTGTCTCAAGTCCCTGCCGTGTGGTGTTGGTAGTCATGTCTATCCACAACCTTCTGTCTCAAGTAACTGCCGTGTGGTGTTGGTGTCATGTCTATCCACAACCTCCTGTCTAAAGTCCCTGTCGTGTGGTGTTGGTGTCATGTCTATTCACAACCTTCTGTCTCACACACTTTCAGTTAACTCTGACACACATGATCTACCACAGTATATGCCGTGTGGTGTTGGTAGTCATGTCTATCCACAACCTTCTGTCTCACACGCTTTCAGTTAACTCTGACACAGATGATCTTCCACAGTATGTGCCGTGTAGTGTTGGTAGTCATGTCTATCCACAACCTTCTGTCTCACACACTTTTAGTTAACTCTGACACAGATGATCTTCCACAGTATATGCCGTGTAGTGTTGGTAGTCATGTCTATCCACAACCTTCTGTCTCACACACTTTTAGTTAACTCTGACAGATGATCTTCCATAGTCCATGCCGTCTGGTGTTGGTAGTCATGTCTATCCACAGCCTTCTGTCTCACACACTTTCAGTTAACTCTGACACAGATGATCTTCCACAGTATATGTCGTGTGGTGTTGGTAGTCATGTCTATCCACAACCTTCTGTCTCACACACTTTCAGTTAACTGACACAGATGATCTTCCACAGTATATGCCGTGTGGTGTTGGTAGTCATGTCTGTCCACAACCTTCTGTCTCACACACTTTCAGTTAACTCTGACACAGATGATCTTCCACAGTATATGCCGTGTGGTGTTGGTAGTCATGTCTATTCACAACCTTCTGACTCACGTACTTTCAATCAACTCTGACACAGATGATCTTCCATAGTCCATGCCGTCTGGTGTTGGTAGTCATGTCTATCCACAACCTTCTGTCTCACATACTTTCAATCAACTGACACAGATGATCCTCCATGCAATGATGTCAAACTGTTCAGCATTTTCTCTCTTGGTCTTCCTCTGCCTCTCTTCTCTTCCAACTTTCCTACTATCGTGATGTACTCCACTTTTATACTTCCCACAATATGACCAAAGAAAATACAATAGCTTTGAAATAATAAAATAAGGAATTGCTGTGTTCATTTTAGCAGCGGGTCTTTTACAGAAGGCAGCCCCCATTAAAGCCCGCCTGAAAGGAACACAAACTCTTCATCAGCTCTTCCGCCTGTGAACTTTTCTACCCAAGGTGTCTCTTATATCGTTGTAATGATGCTAAAAATAGTGATAACGTCAGGGTATGACTGACAGAATTGGGTAAGTCCCTGATAGCATGTGTTTCACAGAGATATGGTGAAAAGACAAGAGTGAGTGAGTCACGTGTGAATGCGAAATCGGGGGGATGGAGAATGAGGTTGTCATTCGGTGACTGGGCCCCAGATTGGAAGGATGTGAAGCTGAATCCAGAGTGAGAAGTGCACACATGGATCTGAATCAGAGTCGAGTGAATGTTAGTTCTGAACGACAAGACAGGCAGCGCTATTGAATGATCGTTTAGGCCAGCAGTTGTGTTTCACAGTATGTTTGTTGAGCCAGCCGTGTACATGCCAGTATCCATCATCGTTTGAAGCATGGCTTGAGACTCAATACGTGAGCAAGGCGAGATTGCCCGAATGGTGTAAGTTAGTTCATTTGTTGATTCGTGTCGCTTGTGTTACATTGACAATAAACCTGTGAAATGCATCAGCTGTTGTAGACCATCATTTAAAGTTGTGTGGCCGTGGAGAGAAGTGCCGTCTGGCTAGAATGAACTGTGACATAACACCTAGACAACAGAGCCAGTGTTGAATCTGCACAAGAGAGATTGAGTGTGGAGGAGACACTTTACAATCGTGTACCCCTCTTCATGATAGCCGGCCCCTGCCGACACACATGATGTTTTATACGAGTCAGTGCAGGCAACTATTTTTTTTCTTCCAAAAACAAAAAAGCAAGTTTCTTGTGTTCTTGATCATCTATATTACTGACCATCCTGCAAGCTGCTCTGCTAAATGAACAGAAGAAGAAGAAAATTTCACAAGCTAAAAACATGAAAGACTCAACTAAGTACACACTACAAACCTGCCGGTTAAAGTAGTACTGGCAGATGCCACACTGAAACGGACTCAGTCTGATCATGTATTTATTATATTTATTCAACATCTCCACCGATTCAGCCTCAGGATGTTTCAGTGCACGTGCACGGTGCATGCGGGTCAAAAGGTGGCGAGCCATTTCGTACTTCCGGGTAAAATGCTTCTGACAGATGCGACAGCTGTGATCCTCGGCTTCCTTGACTTTCTGTTCATCGACCCTAACTGGTCTGAAACAGAAAAATATCAGAGTGACTGAGACAGCATAACTAGTGGATGCATGTTGAGTATTGTGTTAGGCTAAGAACTGGCACCACAGCTCTCGGCACATTCCCACAAGCGCCCCATCCTCATCTTCAGCAGCCAGCAAAGAGTTTCAATTACAAGGTGTCGGTGGATGCAGGGTAAGAATAAGAAAGGGTGCTTTATTAATATCCTACCCCAAACAGGGGAAATCCACAGGTCACGGGACAGTCTAATATTTCAGGGGGTGGTAAATAGGCTGCATGCAGTCGTGGGACCTAGGCTGCACTCTCTCGTATGACGTAGGTGGGTTAGGGTTATGGCCAGTTCTAGATGTTTTAGGGTCGTTAAAAGCATCAGAAAGCTGGTAAACCCAGTCTTACTGTCCTTTGACGTAATCTGGGGTAGGATATCAATAAAGCACCTAAGAAAGTAAAAACAAATCAAATTTATGTTGTGCCATTTTAACAATGGAGGCCAAATGCAGTGGGTACGTGCACTTAGTGCTGAACTTCGGAATATAATGCTGTGGGGCTCTATGGTGCAACTTCTGTACCCCTATGGACAACCACTGTGACAAGCAGGCCCACTCTTTCACTATAGACAACCACTATGACAAACAGGCCCACTCTTTCACTTTGGACAACAATGTGTCAAGCAGGCCCACTCTTTCCCTTTGGACAACCACTGTGACAAGCAGGCCCACTCTTTCCCTTTGGACAACCACTGTGACAAGCAGGCCCACTCTTTCACTTTGGACAACCACTGTGATAAGCAGGCCCACTCTTTCACTTTGGACAACTAATGTGATAAGCAGGTCAACTCTTTCACTTTGGACAACTAATGTGATAAGCAGGCCCACTCTTTCACTTTGGACAACTAATGTGATAAGCAGGTCTACTCTTTCACTTTGGACAACCACTGTGATAAGCAGGCCCACTCTTTCACTTTCGACAACCATTGTGACAAGCAGGTCCACTCTTTCACTTTGGACAACCACTGTGACAAGCAGGTCCACTCTTTCACTTTGGATAACCACTGTGACAAGCAGGCCCACTCTTTCACTTTGGACAACCACTGTGATAAGCAGGCCCACTCTTTCACTTTGGACAACCACTGTGATAAGCAGGCCCACTCTTTCTATTTTGACAACCACTGTGACAAACAGGCCCACTCTTTGACTTTCGACAACCACTGTGACAAGCAGGTCCACTCTTTCACTTTGGACAACCACTGTGATAAGCAGGCTTAAATCAAATCAATTTGGCAAGCAAACAGCATCAACAATATTCGCTTACAATTAGGGAAACTAAAAACTATTTTTAAGAAAATGAAACCGTATGGACTTGACACATCTGTTCATCCTGATCATTTTTTTGACAACAATGTGAATGACTGGCTTAATGATACCACATGTCAACATTTGCATATTTAATCCTGTGGATGTCAATCTGGCGTGATTAAGCCCCCAGCTGTGCGACCATGAAATCATTGATCTGCTGGGGTCTCTTCTATGTTTGGGTGTGCAAGTGTGCTTGCCCATGTGTGTATACATTTAGCTACTATAGCCATCATGGCATTCAGAATGCTGTGTGCTTGATTAGTAAGATAGATCTGGAGCCCATTTTGACAAAGAGAGAGAGAGAGAGAGAGAGGTGAGAGAGAAAGAGAGAGAGACAGAGAGACAGACAGAGAGAGAGAGAGAGAGAGACCCAATGCTCCCAACAGGTACGCAAATTTCAAACTTCTTCTTCTTCATAAAGTTCATGCTGCGTGGCATTGGTAGTCATGTCTAATCACAACCTTCTGTCTCGAGCACTTTCAGTCAACCCTGACACAGATGATCCTCCATGCCATGATGTCAAACTGTCCAGCATCTTTTCTCAGTCTACCTCTGCCTCTCCTCCCCACCAACTTTCCTACTGTCACGATATACTCCAGTTTCCTCCTTCTCATCACATGATCAAAGAATGTAGATTGTCTCTTTCTGATGCGAGCAATCAGTTCTCTGCGTGAGTCAGTTTCTTTCTAGACATCTTCATTACTCTTTGTATTTGTTTGGTGTATTCCTATAATTTGTCTATAAAACATAAACAAAACTGGAAAATGTATGCTAAAGATGAAAAGACAACATACCTGCAATTGTTGATAGAAGACCACACATTTTCCTGTTTATCCTTAGAGATGGTCTCATTATGAACATTTATTCTGATGATGATACCATCATTGCCTTTGTATTCTCTGAAACCTCTTTTCAACATTGCATCTTTGTGAAGTTTGGTATCACAGTGAGTGGAGAACACAACTGCATTATCAAAGTACAGATTGCAAACCTGAGGAAGGGACAGTGGATCACATCAAAAGTTATTGTAAATGTAACAATTTTCTTTGTGAAAAACACAAAGTAGTTAGTCAAATGTATGAATGAATGAATGAATGAATCAAGAATTGACTTCACTGCACTTAGGACATTCCCACATGTGATCCGTCTCCTTCTTCATTAACCAAGGTAGAGTTGACATGCTAATAGTAGCAGTTGCAACCTGACTAAAAGTCTGCCTTTGTTTCCCCCTTCAATGATGAATATCTTTCAGAACCTCTACTCACCCTCCGTTAAATTAGTCTCTTAGTGTATGGATACCCTTTCTGTTCTGCGGCAGCTGGCAATCTATCAGTCTGCTTGTTACCTCGCACACCTGAATGTTCTGGACAGAAAATCTATATGCTCTTGATCTGGGTCTTATCAAGTGATGCAAGCCACTCTGCGTGCAGCACACCAGTTTCAATTTTCCGACGCATGATCTGTCAGTCTGTTATAATCACAAAATGCCAGGCTGTGCTGCTGTCAAGCCATTGGAAAAACTGCTGTTGCTGCCTCCGCCTCCATTCTCATACTGGATGTAGTGACCTTGTACACAAGGCTCTCTGTTTTCAAGCAGTGCCCATTCACCTTTGCAATAAAACCCCACCCACTCTTCTTAAACCTCACTACAGACCCATCTGTATAAATTATTATGTCACCTGGGCATGAGTTTTCATTGATCAGCTCTTGCACAGCTGACTCTGTTTCACCAGCTATCCATTCCCGGCATCCTTGGTCCAAGGTAAGTATCACTCTGTGCAAGTCTGTTTTGCTGAGCAGCGCTGTAAACCATTCTTCACCATGAGCTATCTTGTCAGTTGCACAAACAGTTTGATCATAACTTCTACCTGTGCCATCCAAAAGCCACCTCTTTTTAGTCATTGTCCCTTTGCTATCCTCTAAGGCCTCATGAAGAAGGTATTCTTTGTCCGTTGCGACTTTAAGGTATATTTTCACCTGTAAAACCTTGTATCTCTCACATACAGATGGTAATGCAAATATGTGCCCTGGCACACAACTGGTGTGTCTCATGTACACCCCAAAATGACGTGTCTCATGTAAAACCCAAAATGACTCACATGGCACATTTTGTATGCGTTCAAACTTCTCTATTTGGGTATGAGATAATGTTAGCAGTCCTAAACTATAATCCATCACCGAAACAATCAGTTGCTGGTAGAGTGTATAGAGAATTTTCTATTCAATATCCACAGATGCCATCACTTCAAAGCACTGAGTCCTTTCTTTATCTTTAAAAACTACCTCTTTCACATGGTGTTAAAAAGACAAATTTCTGTCAAAAGTAATTCCTAGATATTTTAGTGAATTACCTCTCTTTATATTTCTACTGTTTATTGTGATATCCTGCAACACATCTCTAACAATTCTATTATTTAAAGAACACCCCAGTACCGCCACCTTATCTGGGTTGATGACTGAGCTTGTTTCCTCACACAATTCACTGACCTTATTTACCACGAACTGTAGCTCTCTAGATATCTCTATTCTATTTTTTCCCTTTCTAAGACATCGCCAGCAAAAGTCAAGATTCTCCCTACTACCCACTGTTTCTATTGCCACTGTCCTGCTTGTGTATACATTGAAAAGCACTGGGGAAATGTCGGAACCCTGTGGGAGGCGGGTGCAATACTGTACATGGTTCAGATCTCCACAAGTCTAGGCAAAAGGTAGTCTGCCGTTCGTACAGGACTGCTGCAATCCAATTGACAATCCAGGGAATGACCTCCATATCCATAAGTGTGTACAGTAAAATGCCATATTTAACCCTGTTATTTGCCTCTTCTAAATCCTGTGCAGCAACCACTGTTTCATATATACGTTGAAACCCCTCTTACACACCGTAAGCTTGGTCGGTAACTTCCTAACCCTCTCTGTAAAAGTCTGTTTTTCAAGGTAATCCTGTCATTTGCCTGCCATTATCTTTTCAAGAATCTTACCCGATGTATGTTGGATTTTTTTTTTCACACTCACATGTAAAACTGTGTTGTGGTTTACACCTAGGCTGTAATATGTATGGTGTAGCAGCAAGAGGCTTGCCTACAGATCTGAAGGTTGTGGATTCGGGTCCTGGCAAAGACTGACTTTTTAAAAAAAAATGACCCTGGCTCACAGGTAGACCCAGCCTTTAAAAAGTACCAGGTACAGTCCTAGGAAATAAAGGCGGCCCACGTGATGTTGACAACATCGCCAACTGAGTGCTGATTGGTCTACAGAATATAGGTATAACCCTATATACCCAATTCACCTAAAGGCGAGGAAAAGGATCCTTAACCTTTCTTTAAACTGAAATATCTGTGTCTTTTGGCCTAATACATTCCATTCCTTAAAATCCTTTACTAGTTTCCATTACAACATGTCTATAAGTGAAGTAAGTAATGGGGGTCTATTCTAAATATACCCCCCCCCCCCCCCCCCAGGGACACTTAGAACTTATATAGGGAAAATACTGGATTTCAAACTAGTCTACAATTATCAGGAAAAGCTCCCCATGTGGGCTCTGTGGCTCCATTTTGAAAAACAAAAAAAGTTAGTCACATATTCTTCACAGGACATTTCAGAACCAACCCCAGCATTTTTTTTACTGTTGTGGGTTTTCTAGGCAAATTTTACCTTCAGTCATTCGCCACTGCTCTCTAAACAGTCAGCTCTCAGTACCACTGTCGAAACCAATGCAAGACAAACCGTCCGCTGCTGGGATCAAACCTGGTACCTCGGCATTACCAAGCGCTTTTGCAACAAGCAACTCATAAAAGACAACTAATAAACAGTTCACTAAAATCAATGTATTGGGCCAAAAGGCACAGATTTGGCAGCCTAGCTGTAAACCATAACTCAACTTGCCAAATCCCATTTTTAGGGTCAATACGGAAAAGGTAGACAGAAAAGTGAATGCACATACATGAAACATCACAGGTGAAGATAACTTGTTCTAAGTTACAGTCTTCTTCTTCACGTTCCCCAGCTCTAAACTATGGTGGAAAGTTCTGGTTGTTCGTCCACTTCTGGGCTGTAGTCCTGTTCCAGAACTTGACTGTCACATGTGCATCTATTTGACAGACCTGACTAATCCGTATGCAGACTGTTGGTTCCTTGCCTCTCAGGCAGATGCACTCCGACTCTGAAGGAAGCTCCCAATCAGTCTACTCTTACGACATGCTTTTGGGTAGGCAGTGGGTCTATTCTTGTTTTCCCTATAATAGGGCCCCGGGAACCCATATGGGGATAAGTAACAGTGAGAAACAGGATTGTCATCTGCTAGAGGTAACAGACAAAAGGTACATGCTGATGCCTGACAAGTCACACAAATCGTCTCCCAGAGAATTATCAATCAATCAGCCAACCAAACATGACAATATTGTGATTCTTCTTCTTCTTCGCGATCACCGGCTGTAAACTCTGACAGAAAGTTCTGGTTGTTTGTGCATTTCTGGACTGCAGTCCTATTCCTGATTACTGAGTGTCCATCTGATTGACAGATCTGAATAATTTGTATGCAGACTGTTGGTTTCTTGCCTCTCAGGTAGATGCACTCTGACTTCGAAGAAAGCTCCCAATTAGTCAACTCTTACGACATTCTTTTGGGTAGGCAGTGGGTCTATCCTTGTTTTCCCTATAATAAGGCCTCGGAACCCACACAGGAAGATATTGTGATTCAAATCTAGATGTGATTAGCCTATAAATTTTCGCATCATCATTCTTTATACCATTATAAGTCACATAAGTCTCGCAGTCTAGTCCTCCAGTTCCTTCGATTCTGTGTAATTATTTTGATATGGATGGAACTCAGTCCAGCACCCTTGGCCTCTCTAAGTAACATTCATTGTAGGGTTTCTCCCAGTTGTCCATCTTTCCTTAGCCAATATGTTTCCCATTTTCAGTGCCTGCTTCTTCTCAATATACTGCCATCTTCTTTCTTTTATAGCAGCTGCTACAACTGATTAAGACATTCATCTTATTTCTACATCTTTTTTGAATGCATAACACCTTCATAACATTATCATAAGAAAAATGTATACTCCAAATTTAAACTGTTCTTCAATTACATCAATTCTTCTTCTTCAACATTCCGAGCCCTTGAGGTTCATTGCTGCACAAACAACACCTCTATTCATTTCTATGATTAGTCCTCTTTCTCCAGTTAGTGATTCCAACTGTTTGCAGGTCTGCCTGTATATTATCTCTGCACCGTCTGCCAATATTGTCTACGACATTCGCCTCCTTTGTGTCATCTGACATTCTCTCAATACACCCCAGCCATTTCATTATTGTCTCTCACTCTCCATGCCTATAGTTTGCATCTTTGATGGGTCCAAAGATCGCCATCAGATTCTATTTTTACAAATGTGAACAATACATAAATATGCAAGTGGAAAGGTGGCGAAATACTCACAGGACAATGACACCCATCATTTCCTCTCCTTGGCTTCAGCTGAGACATTTCTTCAGGCGATACATGATACTTTACTTGTTGGCTTGAAACTGATATGTTCTCCTGATCCTGAGACTCTTCCAGATAGTCTGTGGTAATCTTCTCCTGTTTCTTGGCTTCGGCTATATTTTTATGCTCTGACTGGCTAAAGTGCAAGGAGTATGCATTGCGGTCAGCAAAGTAAGACAGACAAACATTGCAATAAAACGTTTTGCCAATGTCATTTTTATTGCCCCTTGATCTGCACGGCTTTTTCAAAATATTCTTTCTGCACGCTGGTCCCGGACGGTAACCCAATTTCAAATTCCCAGCGACGGACATGCGTGGCTTTGGGCCTTCCCCCGGTCTCCACTTCCCACCTGTATGACCATGAGGAGGATGTGCTGATGTATGGTCATCACCATCATCACTTAACCAGAAATTCTCCTCTTGCCCTCCTTCCTCTTCATTATCTGAAACACCAATGAAGTCATCATCACTGCTGAATTCCAGGTTGCTCAGAATACTGGTAATAGGCAGCAGGGACTCAGCATGAGCGTCGTCTTCTAGAATAGATAGCCTCTGGACAGCTTTGATTCTGGGTCTGGGTGGATTGTCTTCGTTTGCACTTTTCAGCTCCAGCGACTGGAAAAAATCCGAGCAGTGTTTTGGTGACAACAGAGCATCTGTTCCAATATCTGCTTCAGTGAATTCATCAGTATTATCGATAAATTCAGACATTGGGGACGTGTCCCCACTGTAGGTATCGATATCCACAGCATTTTCAGCTGTCTGTTGCTGACGGTCCAAATGTAAGCCTTTGTTGCGGTTGCCGGAACCACCACCCTGGCTGCCAGAGACCAATACATTTTTTACATCATTTGGGCTGAACGTCTGATCAACAATGTGGCTTTCCTTTGGTGTAGCATGAGTCTTGAAATGTTCAACATAATTCAGCAGCCCAACGATGGTCTGGTTGCAGATCAGACACATGTGATTGCTGTTGTCAACAAAGTCCATCATTTACCTGTGAGAAAAAATTTCAATGAAACTAAATATTATTTATAGCCTAAATACATGCTGCAAATAATTATGTAAGATACATCAAGTAATGTTTGGATTACCACAGCTGGTTATGTGTAGACTATGCACATCATTTGGATGCAGGTGTAAAAGGAAATGAACACCCTGATAGGCTTGCAGGTAAGACTACTGTGAAAATAGAAGAGCAATCGAGCAGGCTGATATACTGAATACTCTATGAGAAGTGAGATGTTTGCAAGAACCAAGTGATGAATGTGAATCTGCAACCGTGAACAGACTGCAAGAACAGCAAGTGAAAAGGGTGAGACAAAACAACAGTTCTATGTAGGAAACCAAAGAATTATAATAAACTATCTCAGAATTGGTGTTATCAGCCACTATTTACTGTGGGATTTACTGAGTGGATCTTATAAAGTTGTCCCCACGTGGGTTGCAATTTTTCGTTATCTGAGGCCCAAATCTGGCCTTTGCCGGGGGCCCTGAATATAGCCGGGCCATAAATATGGCCTATTAGCTGAAAGGGGTTTCTGGGACCTTTCCACGGGTGATACTTATCAGCATGGTGTCACTTTGTGTCACCGGGTGTTTAAGCAGCAATGTTTATAGCATGTGTATAAAATGTCTTCTCAAAGTCCATGCTGTGTGGCATTAGTAGTCTATCCACTACCTTCTGTCTTCTATACTTTCAGTCCGCTCTGACACAGATGGTATTCCAGGCTATGATCTAAAACTGTCCAGCATTTGCTTTGTCTGTCCCTCTCTTCCTCTCCAACTATTCCACTATCACAGTGTACTCCAGTTTTCTCCTTCTCATTTGCTAGGCTGACAACTAGGAAGCAACAGAGAGGTGGTTTCTGAGACGAATGTTACAAATTCCTTAGATGGCCAGAGTAACTAACAACGATAGCTTGAAAAAAGCTAATGAAAGTAGATCTCTATATATAACAATAAGAAAGAAACAAACACTGTTCTTTGGCCACATAATGAGAAGAGAGACATTAGAGAACATCGTGACAACTGGAAAGATCAGTGGAAAAAGGGGTAGAGACAGACCAAGAGAGATGATGCTGGATGGGCTGAGACGATGGCATGGAGGGATATCATCAAGAGCGATGTTTCAGGCAACAAGGGATCGTGATCTGTGGGGACGCATGAGCACCTATGCCAGTTGGCAGGGCACATGATGATGTTGACTTTAGCCTATACTCTTTATGATATTGCTACATGTAGAATTTTACAAGACATTTTTTATTTTAAACCAGAGTCGTTGTGCAGTCACAGAAGGTTGCTCAGAGTGTTATCTCAACATTTAGTTTTATCAAAGATGATACACACAACCCTAGGAGGTAGACGCTTCTGACCACAACAACTGGGAATTTAAGTTGTATTATACAAGAAATCAACATGACCTGAGTGAAAGATTCATTCAACTAGCTGAGGACAAAGAAACCTACAGAAAGGAATGGAAGGTTATAAAGCTAGGGACAAAGACTTAACAAGTTGAGATCTAAGATGCACTACAACTGAGAACTCACCTACAACTCAGTGAAAGGTTTCATTTAATATTCAACTAGCTGGGGACAAAAGGACCTACAGAAAGAAATGGCAGGTGTTTACTGTTTACAGTGTTAGTACATTAACTTATCCTCTGAAACGGCTAAAATTAGCTTTTATGATGTATAATCTATACATTTAAAAAATGAGTATAGCTTAAAATATGAATAGTGAATACTAATGTTACTGATGGATATGGTTCTGAATGTTATGACTATGACAGCTGCTTTACCTAATCACTAATGGATTCCATTTGATTGTTATAATATAATAATCAATTAGAAGCTACAGGAATAAATTCTTATAAACTGATTACCATAATTATTTATAATTAATCTTGACCACAATCAATATCATCAATCAAATATTTAAGGCAACAAGGCAAAGGTATGATAAAGGACTATTACTATTATATATTCTAAGGCTTGCGATGCAAAATTTAATGCAAAAACAAGGGGAACTTAAATTGGATCAACCATTCTTCGAACTTATTGTTAATAATTAATACAGAACAGAATGTATGTGCTCGTCAAAAACTGTGAATCGATGACAAGGATATCGGATCGTACACAAATGAAGCGCATCATTCATCGTCCATCTCAGTTTTACATTTTAAAAACAGTGGCTGACTTAGTGACTGTTTAGCATCAAATTCTAATCGTGTTTAAAAGAAAAACTTTCGCCAAGCCATTATGTGCAATAATTCGTCTGCTGTTGATCTTCCCCCCAGTTGTGGCAACCCGCACCCGTTGACCCGCAGCAGCTGACAGCCGTTAAGCGCACAGAAAAGTATGAAGTTCAAAACCATTCTTATGTTCATTATCAGCTCCATGCACGACCATGCGATGGTTGCCCAAAAAGGCTAAGTTTATGAAAATGGCACAACATGCTCATATTTTCCGTGGATTAACTGTCAAAAATTTCACAACTGGTGTACTCAAACTTCATGATAAAAAATTAAACAATTATCACCTGCGTTGATAATGCAACAGAAAATAAGTTAACTGAGTGTAAAACGTTGGTTTTCCTATAGATGAATATATTAAAGATAAAACATGGCGTCCGGGCTCTACGGAAAGCCAGACGATATATGGGTCACCAGACATGCGCGGTGAGTGTATTATTGTCCTAAAGTGACCGTTGACCTTACACAAACAATAACTTCCGGGTCAAATTTGGAGGTTGCTTCGTGTTAAGCCTAAGCAAGCGATACTGTATAGTCTGCTAGTTGTGTGGCTTTCAACCAGGAGAAGGGTTTCTTGGACTTGGCCAGTGGGTACGTTAATTTCAGCGACATTCCTTCTATATTTACAAGAAATGTTTCGTTTTTAACGCGCTCAAACGTGTTTTGATTTAGGATTCAAACTGTTAATTCCCGTTAAACCGTTGGTCTTGGTCTGTATTTAGCCTAAGTGGACAATACTGAACTAAGAGTACTTACTACTGTATAGTCTGCTAGTTGGGTGACTGACAAGGAGGAGGATTTCTTGGACTGGTGAGTAGTTTGTTGTACACGCTATTGCCACGTTAGTTTTACATCAGCGATAGTGTCAAATATGGGTGTGTAGTTAACTGTGACGAACTTATTAATAATTATGTAGGATTCAAACACCTTACGCATTGTCTTCCTCAGTAATGAGCCTATCAGACGATACGGTATAGTGTAGTGTACATTTTAGTCTGCTAGCTCAGTGGCGTTTAACAAGGAGCGTGGTTTCTTAAACATGACTTATGGCGATCTTTTTCTACACACCATTCATAGTATATCTTACAAACCATATGCCAGTTTAACTGCGACGAGCCTGTTTTTTAGTATTCGAGCACCAAACTTGCATCGTATGTTGTTAAATTTATGTAACCTAAGCAGACAATACAGTGCAGTCTGCTAACTGCTAGAAATGAAGGTTTTATCTTATTCTTGATTTGTGAGCAGCTTTTTTTTTTTTTTTGGCCACTCATTCCTAATTTATTTGCAATTTATATTTCATATTTAAATCGGACAAACATTCAAATACTGAACTGCCCGTCTTGCTTTCCAGTTTACTTTTTGACCTAATCATACGATACTGTGCTGTATAGTCTGCTAGTTATGTGGCTCTCAACAATGAGGAGGATTTCTGGACTAGTGGGTAAATAAAGGACCATTTTTCACGCCTACAGGCGTATTGGGCATACAGGGCTAGATCTCCATTTTACAGACCTCCGCATTTTGGAAGGTGACATGGTCAGCACCACGCCGACCGCCTTTACTTTCCAGGACTGCACCTGGTAACCTCTCAAGGTTGGGTTGACGTAAGAGCAGAGTTCTTTAAAAAAGACAGTCTTGCCTCAGGTTCTGTACCCACGACCTACCGATCTGCTGGAGAGCGTCTGGTCGCTCTACCACAGCTACTGGGCTAGTGGGTACGTTGTTTTATACGCCACTCATTGTCTCTTTACTATATGTATTTCAAATTGAACGCGCAAATTTAACGTGTTATAACTTAGGATTCGAACTTTTCATTCTCACTAAACTAAGCAGACGGTACTGTATCAGCTGCTAGTCATGTGGTTTTCCACAATGAGGATGGTTTCTGGAATTGTCTAGTGGGTGCGTTATTTTACACGTCATTCGTAGTTTATTGACAAGAAATATTTCATATTAAATGCACAGCAGCGTGTATCAGTGCACATATAATATGGGATTTAAACTGTTCATTCCCACTAAACCACCTACCTTGCACCGTATTTACCGCAATCAGACGATGCTGTATTGTTATTGTCTGCCTGTTGTGTGGCTTTCAGCAATGAAGACTTCGTAGATCTGGCTATTGGGAAGCTTGTCTCAGTGACAAGCCTACTTTTTTTTTTTACAAGTTATATATTTTGTATTTAACAGTGACGACAGTTCGTTTTCAGTGTAGCTGATGATGATGTGTATAGTCTGCTTGTTATGTGGCTCACATGGAGTTTTGTTTCTTAACTTTCTACACACCATCCCTAGTATATTTATAAATTCTTTTGTGTATTCAACAGTGTCCAACGTTTTATGATAATGGAGAACTTTTCGTTCTTGCTCTGGATAATAAACCGACTGACTTGCTCCGTTTTTAGTCTAAATAGACATATATTGTATAGTCTGCTAGTTGTGTGGCTTACGACAAGGACAGTTGTCTCTTGGACACGACTAGAGGATATATTTGTACCCACCATCTCTAGTATATTTAAAAGTTATATTTCATGTTTATCTTCTAGATATTACAACAAAAATCGTCAACGAAAGTATTGTAAAATAGGATTTCAGCTGTTGTTTCGAGTCAGTACTGACCCCCATTCTTTCCCCTTTCCCCCTGTCTAGCCTGACGACACCGTTTCGTCTGCTATTTTCACTTTAGAGTGTTACCGTACTTTACGTTTACAATAACTTCCGTTTCTTTTTGACA